TACTCCATACTCTGTTCAAAAATCCATCGCTGTTAAGCGCTTGAAGCATAAACAATCTTTTTGCTTTAAAGATGCAATAAAGATACTACCTTATCATGGATCAAGTCAACAAGGGTTATCAAAATTAAAATTTAAGGCTGTCTGCGATTTAGTATTGCCATTATTTCATTCACCTGTTATGAATCTTGATCTATTGTGGCAAGCTGCATGGTTTTTAACTTCAAAGGAATCTCCACGCCCTAATTGGTCAGGATTCATGCAACATGCTGTGACTACATGCAGTGACAACTTTAAAAAGACGACTATCAATTTTCTTCCCATTATTGACTTAAATTCTTTGGAAGAGTCGTGTATTTATTCAACTCTGCAATTTGTGATATCTCAAGCCAAAAGATTTGACATTTCTACACCATGTATTACTTTTGATCAACCACTGTGGTTGAAAGCTACTGGAATTGTAAAAAATGAAAACCTGAACATTGTGTGCAGACTTGGTGGATTTCACACACTCATGAGTTTTCTTGGAAGTATTGGTAAGCTAATGTCAGGATCTGGACTTGAGGAAGTCTTCGAAGAAGTGTATGCAGAGCATACTGTTCAACAGATGTTTTCAGGAAAGGCAGTTGCTAGATCTCTTAGAGCTCACATCATAATTCAAAGTGTTTTAACAGTTTATTTAATGGATTTTTTAATAGAAGAAAGTAGAATTGATCTTGCTGGTTTTGTACCTGCCTATCAAAATGCAATAAATGATCAAGGTATGAACAAGGAACAATTAATTGAGATACGAAATAGCGATATTTTCAAACAAACTAAGAGTGCATTATCAGATTTAATTGAGAAAAAGAAAGCGGAATCGCGTACAGCCGCATTATGGCTTCAGTATATGGAATATATTGACGTGGTGAAGGAATTTATTTGTGCAGAAAGAACTTCAAACTGGTATTTACATCTACAAGCCGTGAAGAAAATGCTGAATTTATTTGCAGCAACAGGTCATGTAAATTATGCCAGAAGTGCTAGAATGTATTTTCAAGAAATGTTAACTCTTTCAGAGACTAACCCTTGGCTTCATGATAGGTTTATAGAAGGTGAACACGCAGTTCGAAGATCAAGTAGATATTGAGGTGGATTATGGTCAGATCTTGTGATTGAACAAATTCTTATGCGGTCCCTTAAAACTAGCGGTGGGTTGACAAGAGATCGTGGTCTTGAAGAGAATGTACGCCTCCTTTGGGTTTCAAGTATTAATTACACAGCTGCTGTTCATGACGCAATGACAAATCTTACAGGTGTTAAAGTTGGAACTAGTGAGCAGCATCTAGAAATGGGGTTCACACGTAGATTAAGCGATTATGAAGATTTCCAAAAATTTTATGGTTGGTTCGAAACAAGAAACCCTTTTGAATACGAAGATACTCACCTTCACTCGTTATCAAGTGGAGTCTTTTCGGAAACTAAAAAAGACAATGTTAATTGTGAAAATTCAGAAGCTATTAGACTAGCAATTCAAAAAAATCTTGACAATATCAGTTTTACAGAAGCGAAGATCAAGACAAAGAATCAACTTTTCACACTTGAAACTTTGACAAAGTGCGCTAAAATTGACGATAAAAACTCAATTTTTATCAAATCAACCAAACTATTTACAAGATTAGCTGCAATTGCACAGAGAGAAGATGATGTTGAAAGTTACTTTGATTACGAACTCACTCCATTTCCACAAGCTTTGTTTAAAAATAATCTTATGCGGAAACCTGATAAAGCCTCACTTAGGAAATTACTTTTAACAGAGGAAAACATTTGCTCAATAGAAAAATCGGAAAATTGCATCTATGTTCTTGATGGAGGTGCTTTATTGCATCGTGTGTACTGGGTTAAAGGAACAAAGTTTAGCAACATATTGTATGGATATGCAACCTATGTTCAGAAAAACTATGGCAAATGCTTCATTGTATTTAATGGATATAAGTCCACGACTTCAATCAAGTCTAATAAACACATTAGAAGAAAAACAGCTAGTGGTTCTTCAAGAAATATAATCATCAAAGAAGATAACGATGTTTCATACTCAAAAGAACGTTTTTTAGGTAACGCGCATAATAAGGAGCACACACACCTCACCAAGGACGGCCATACGGTTCATGTATGTGAAGGGGATGCTGACACAAAAATTGTTTCTACGGCTCTCGAGGTTGCAAAAGATTTTTTAACAATAGTTGTGGCTGATGATACAGATGTGGCTGTAATGCTTCTTTACCACTGGAATAAGAAGTTATCCGATATTTTCTTTCTTCAGGAACACGGCAAGAAATGTTGGAGCATTAAAAAATGCCAATTAGAAGTTGCGGATTTCAAGGATCATTTGCTTTTTGTTCATGCATGGAGTGGATGTGACTCCACCTCAGCAATATTTGGCAAAGAAAAAGCAATGTTTTTGATCTCAGTCAAAAAATCAGAAAGTATGAAGGAGATATCCGAAACATTTATGGACTACTGGGCAACAAACAAAGAAATTGCAGAGTCCTCAGTCAATGCTTTCAAAGAATTATATAATGGACATCAACAGACTTCATTAGCCAAATTAAGGTTTATTCTTTTTTAAACATACACAAATTTTTATTAAACTTTTTTAAATAGTCAAACTGCTCCTAGCATCATAAGACATTTGTTTTATAGGATTGTCTTTATATTTAAACAAATCTTTCTTCAAACATTAGATATTCAAAATATCTTGAAGCGTTGTGCAAAGGTATTGTTTTTCCTGAAAAACTACCACCGACTGATCGGGCTGCTCATTTCCATGGTTACAGAGTTCATCTGCAATTAATTGAATGGAAAATGCTAGACGAAGGATTAAATCTAAAACCTACTGAATGGGGATGGAAATCCACTGATGGGCACCTTGAACCAATTCCAACTGACAAAGAAATAGCTCCACTAAATTTGCTCAAGGTCATTCGATGCAACTGCAGATCTAGTTCAAAAAACCAATGCCAAACAAAAACATGCATTTGTAGGAAAAATGGAATGAAGTGTATGGCAGCGTGTGGGGGTTGCCATGGTATGCAATGCAGCAATAAGACAGTGAGACGATTTTAATGAATTAAATTTATAATTGATTAATTTCTATACAAATAAAAATTAATTATCTGTAAGTAAAAATTCTAATATCTTATTTTAATTTAATTTAGTTGGACATTGAGGAGGAACATGAAAACAGTGATAAAGACAGCGATGAAGAAAAAAACTCTAAAAATATTTTTGATGAAATGTTTTAAACATCAAAATATTATCATAATAAATGAAATGTCTTTTTGTGTCTTAAAACATATATTAATTATGATATCCATATCATATATTAAAACATATATTAAAACATTAAAACATATATTAATTATGATATCCATATCATAATTATGATATGGAAAATGCAATGAACAACGTTGTTAGTAATAAAAACTTATTATGGAAAAGTTGCACCGAATTCGAAAAAAGGCAGACAAAAAAATTCCCTAGTCCCTAAAAGTATAGGGCCTAACGCTATAGCCCCCCCCCCCCACCTAGCTACAGCACTAATATTTTTACGTTATGAGTTAATAAAATATTTTACATAGCGTTAAATTCTATTTCTAACGGCATACCATGCTTACGATTTCAAAGAAGAAATATTTTTTCAAAATGATGACGTCATAAAACCCACACTGAACAGCCATAGCTCACGAACCATAAATTTTTTTAACTTTGTGTAAGCAAACTTTTTACTCAGCATTAAATTATCTTTCAAATAATATATAAAACTTATAATTTTGGAAATATAAAAAATTTAGTCATTTTGCCCAAATATTTGATTGAAAAATGGGCCCAAAATGACATTCCCTGTTCTCAAAAACACGGGGTTTTTTTTTTGGTCATTGTTGACATGCTAACTAACCTATGTGCAAAAGCCTAACTTTATATGATTTTTTTCCGGGTATAACTCCAATTCCACCATACTATAATTCCTGAAGTATATATTATAGTTTAGAGTATTTTTTTTCAGATTTGTGAAGTTTTTTTTCTTTACATTTGTTTTAATATTCTTTGTTTTCAATTTTTACATTAAAAAAAAAACAACTATGCTTTATTGAATTTTTATTTTATTTTATAATTTAAAGCGCTTTTTTTTAACGATTGACTAAAGGTGCTCTATGAAAAGGTTGTGATAATTATATATATGTATACATGTAGATCATCTACATATATACATATATATAATTATCACAACCTTTTAACTGTAGATGATATATATATATATATATATATATATATATATATATATATATATATATATATATATATATATATATATATATATATATATATATATGTATATATATATATATATATATATATATATATATATATATATATATATATATATATATATATATATATATATATATATATATATATATATATATATATATATATATATATATATATATATATATACACACATACATATATATATATATATACAAAATAGAGTAAAAGTAAACCTAAAAATAAAGTTGTTTGCATATTTTACACACACACAGATATATATATATATATATATATATATATATATATATATATATATATATATATATATATATATATATATATATATATATATATATATATATATACATATCTGTGCATGTGTGTGTGTAAAATTTGCAAACATATATATATATATATATATATATATATATATATATATATATATATATATATATATATATATATATATATATATATATATATATATATATATATCAAACAGAAATTAGGTTATTACAAAATAAAACGCGCATAACCAAGTTTTACAAGTCACTGGAAGAAAATCCTAACTTTTTAAATATTAAATCTTTTTTAATGCATTAAAATCCGCATTATGGGTGTGTGAAACTACCAACGCCTTTTAAGTCAAGAGAACTATACAGGCAGAACTAAACAGGTTTAAAAGATTAGTGTAAAATATCTAACTGTATTATCCTATAGCTAAAGTACAACTTAATTAGACAAATGGAAGCATCCTAAAACAATTTAAGTGTCGTAGAGATACTGTAAAACATCAACCTCAACTTGCTTCCCCACAGCAATTGCTAACTCCAAAGGTACAATGCACTTGTATTTTGGGACATCAATCTGATCATCAGAAGAACATTTCACTAATAGTTTTAAAGTCACTAACGTAGAAATTTGCGATAATATATTAGCAGACGGACTCACAGCTTCTCCAGCAATACTATAAAAAATAGCCATTAAACGATCTAATTGAAATGGCTTGGGACCTAAATAATTAAACATTAAAATTCAAAAATTATAGTACAATTATAAAACCATTGAAATCAATAAAATTCTTGTAAACAATTATAAGGAATGTAGGAAGTATAGAGATAAGTAGTGTAAAAAGTATAAAGTAAAAAATTTTGAATTTGATTTCAACTCCTACACTCATGAGATTACCTAAAAATTTTTTATCTGAATTTTTTATTGATTTCACCGATCTTTTTGCTCGAGAACTCATCTTTCCAACGCATCTCTTTGCAAAAAATCTTCTGTCAGAGTTAGCTGGGTTATAGGAAGCAAAAAAAGCAGCAAGAAGAAGATGCTTAGAGTAGTATGGTAACTCCACTTGGGCTTTTATTGTTTTATCTATGACAACAATTTTAAAATTGAGTAAATATAAATTACATATCACATAAAAAATCGAAATTTAAAATATATAATTAAACATCTAAAAGCTTTAATTAAAGTATGAAACTAATTAAAAATAAAACCATAATTGCTCTTCTCTTGCATCGTTTCCCATTGAACACTAGAAACTTCACGCAAATAAACTGTTTGTAATGCTTTTTTTAAGTGAGGCATGATTTTTGCCCAAAGCCTTCTATAATCATTTTTATCTATTTCCCCTTCTACTATCGGTTCACAGTATTTAGAAAAGTTGACAGTTGCCTAAAATCGATGCTTGTTACAATCATATATATATATAAAAATTAACGTGAAAATAATTAACAAAAACGTTAATTAAAAAATTTATATAAAAACATTTTTATGATATTAAATTTATCATAAATAAACAATTAACTAAATTTTAATTATTTTGAGAATTAATACTGACCAACCGAGCATTATACTAATATTCATTTTCTAATATGTTAATTTATTATATGTATACTTACATGTATGTATATGTTATAATAACATTTACAAATAATACTCAATAACTATGCTAAACAAAAACCTTATTAAAAAAAAAAATACCAGATGACGAAGTTCAGTTAAATTATTAGTTATATGGAAAAATACATCAACAATTGCAGTAACATATCCTTTATAAAAGTCTGTTGAAAAATCATCTGGACAATCATATGTCATTATGTCTTTTAATTGATCCTTGGCATAGTTTTTAAAATGGATTTTTATTGGTTCATAAAAGCCGCTAGATGTAACAAACTTTTCATAAATTAGTTCACTTATAAATAAAACAGAAATGTCTAACTTTGTAAGCTCGCCAAGTCTTAAAAAAGATGGTAATAGGTTGCAATCCATTTTTCGAAGTCGTTCAGCTTTATCAAGTATAATACAAAATGGCTGCCCTAATAATGCAAAGGTACACTGAGCTAAATAGTGACAAAAATCCATCATGGTTGAGCATGATTTTTCAGAAGAATGGCCAGCATCTGACAGAATCTTTTGATAAATGAGCTTAGAGTTAAAACATTCTGTACAACTCACACTTGAATATTGAAGCTAAATGTAAAATTCTCTAAATTAATAAATGTAAAAAATTCTCCATAAATGTGAAAACTATAATTTATAAAAATTATATAAAAACATATAAAACTTTATAAAAAATATATAAAAATGTATAAAAATTTATAAAAAATATATAAAAATATATATAAAATGCAAATATAACATAAAAAATGTAAATATAACATATACAAAAAGTATACCAAAAATCTTAGATAAGTAAGACTTTTTTATACGTTGCTTAAAATAATTACTAAGCAGTTTAAAATATATTTAAAAAAAATAAAGCCAAAAAATAAATTGACTTAAAAAGTAATAAACTTAAAAAGAGCTTATAATCAAAAATTAACTAATAAAAAGAAACTTTAAAAAGAAACTTCAATACATTACTTAAAAAACAAAAAAAAAAACACTTATTTATCAAGAATGTTGGAAAGTACGTATTATCTTAAAAAGTCCTGAATCACCATCTGGAACTATTTCTAAACTATCTTAAGTCAGCAAGGAATCTTTATCAATCCATGACAATTTGAAAAGATGGGATTTTCAAATAAATTTTTTTATTGGCCTAATTTAGCTTTTAAAAAGATAATTCAAAATTATTTAACATTGACTTACTAAAAGTAATTAATTTACATAACAAAAAGAACAAAAAATCCATTTAAACTTATATGCTAGGTTGACATATTTCTTGCTCTTTTTATAAATAAATCAAACTTATAAATAAACCAAACAGAATTTATACTTTATTTCTACTGGAATATTCATACATTCCAACATTTTTCTTTTTTCTATTCATTATGTTTTTATCTTTATTTCTAAACTTTCTTCTACACATGCTGAACATTATTAACTTAACTGAACAACAATTTAAAAAAATAAATCAACTTTTTATCATGTTCTAAAAAAAAAAACTTATTTTATTAAGGATTTTTTTTCTAGTCAGTAACACCTTGTAAGATCTTTTTGATTTATTTTAAAAAGAGGTAAGAGAAGTTTTTTTTTAAGTTTTAGTTAGCTCAAGAAAAGAGCTGTTTATAAAAGCTTATTTTTAGGTTGATAGTCTCTATAAGCGGATATGCTAAGCTGATGTGTTTATTTCAACTCTATATCAGTAACTTTACAACAAAAAGTAGATAATAGCAAATAAAGTTTTTTTTAGCCAGCTAGAGATGGTTTTTATTTTTTTTAAATTACTCCTATCATAAAAAAATAAATTACACATTTTTTATTTTAAAAATATGCTCAAAATATACTGCATATTATTTTTTTAAAATAGTTTTTTTTTTTGAAATTAAAACTTTTTTATGTTATATTTACTGAAAAACTAAATTTTAATTAAGTTATTAAACTAATTTTATTACATTAAAATTAATAACATCTGCTGATAACACTTAAACTGAGTTCTAAAAATTCCATATTTTCTTGTAAATTTATATCTAGCGTTGAAACCTAAAATTGAAAGCAGAGTTGCGCATTTAATAACAATTAAAAAAATTTGACGCTAATAAACAAGATCATGGTTACAGCTCAGATAAGGGGTGATCTCTCACTCCACCTATCAAAATTCAATATAAAATAACTTGCCATTCTGTCAAAGAGTTTAGAGTTTCTTTCATGTTCTTCATATCAGGTGGCAAAAAGAAATGTCATTTAATAAAGAAAATATTGTGCAAAAATACTTTTTAAAGTAATGAATAACAAATAAAATTTATAATTTTGCAATAAAAGATACACATTGCACCAAAAAAAGTTTTTATTTGATATTCACGTTCACCTCATTATGTTAATAAATCAGTGTTAAGTAATTTTTCTATTAAATCAGAATAAGCTAGATTTATTTATTATCCAACAATGAAGTATAGCAAGAAACTATTTTATTGTGCAGATGTAACTGTTAAAACTAAAAATTGGTTTTGAAAACTTGGTGAAAATAACCAAGAAGAAAGTGCTCAAATAGACTTACTAGGTCATATTTTTTTAAATAAGATAATGATAAAATACAGTCAAACACACCAAGGAATGGGTCATATTTAAAATAATAATCTAACTTTACACTCTGCCACAATCTCCAGTATTAAATCCCATTGAAGAACAGCTGGATAAATTGGATAGAAAAATCTAGCCCTGTGATATGAGGAACCATCAACAACTACAATTAGTAATTACAGAAGAGAATTGCAGAAGCTCATTTACTTAGAAATTAACAAAGTGTATGTGCCACATTTAAGTAACTTAGATGTTGTTTACATACAGATTAATGCCTACAAAACTGTTATGCTAATAATGTCATGAAATTAATCTTAGTTATGAAGATTAGGGATCTGAGGACACTACGTTATGGAACTCCAACATCACATAGTAGCTCATTTAACATATTTTTTTCTTTCTTGAATATTTACATTCTACAATTTAGGTAATTAGATATCCACTTAAGTACTTTATTTCCAACATATTTTTTCTTAATTATTTATTTTTTTTATTTTATAATTACTGTTTCAAAAGCTCTGTTTAAGTCTGACATTATCGTTAACACATGTCTGTTATTGTTGATCTAAGATATACTTTTTCGGTTAGGAATTACTTAATATAATACTTTACATCGTTTATCATCTAAAAATTCAACAAATAATGCAATAGTTTCACATTCTCCGTTCATAGTAATATTTCATCAAAATAAAATCTCAATAAAATAGTAATAATAGGCAATTACCCCTGAACTTTGTATAACTTTTTTGGTAACTAATGTTTTTCCTGTAGCAGAATTTCCATATATAAAGATTGATTTTGGTAAAATGCTGTCACCTAATAAAACTTTTAACAAAGAAAATTCTTTATCCCTGTATAAACACAAGCTTTCATTAATACCATTCATGTTAAATCTAAGGAAAAATAGTACTTATTTTTTTCTTTATCACAAATTATCCAAGACTATCAGAACCGGGAAAAATCATTCCGTATTATTTTTAACCGTGGTTATTGATTAGATAGCGGAACCGTATGTCAAACAATTATTTTTCCGACTTTTTTTAATTATTATTGTCGTTATTTATTTCGTCATTTATGAATATTTTACAATGATCTACACACGCTAACTTAACTAAACAATAATTAAAAGTTTGATCAACAAGATTTAAATGAAATTTAAGATCTACAGGAGCAAGTAAAAGATTGTCGAAGGTCTTGTCATCAAGCCCCTATAGTAAGCAAAACTTATTCTTACAAATTTCTCATGTGTGGGGAAATTGTGTCGCAAAATTTTAACTGTTGCAAATTTTAACTGTTGCAAATTTGATTGTCGAAAATGCAAAAAGGAATAGTGTCGCATATTGTCGCATTATTGATTATCAAATAACAGAATAAGGATTAGTGTCGCAAATCGTCGCATTATTGATTATCGAATAACAGAAGAAGGAATAGTGTCGCAAATGAACTTAATGAATAGTGTCGAAAACAAAACAAAAAAGGAATAGTGTCGCAAATAGATTAGGCGGAATAGTGTCGCAAATATTTAATTTTATTAATTGCTTGCTCGTTCTGCTCATCTTTATAGCATACAATTTTTACAGAAAAAAACAAAGAAAAAACAAATAATAATGAAATAAAAGATTGCTATCAAACCCTCCTTTGCGGCAGCAGGCTAAAAGATAGTTGGTGTATCTACTGAAAGCCCTGGCAGCAAGTTATTTCAGTATGACCTCAGACATGTTATCTAAACACACATTTATAGTTATTATTATTTTTTTATTTTTGTTACTATTCATTAAACTCCTTTAGGACATTCAGTGGCGGATTAAGACTTCTTGGGGCCCGGGGCTATTTTTGTTTTTGAAGGCCGTTTTATGGACCAGAGCCTAATGATTAATGACTTAAAAAAAAAAAAAGGTCCTCTTAAATTTGCGGGGGCCTCTAAATTTGCGGGACCCGGGGCAATTGTCCCCCTAGCCCCACCCCTTGATCCAGCACTGAGGACATTATTCCTTTTTTCTATTTTCGACACAACTCATTAAATTCATTGCAAAACTAATTTTTTTTTTGTTTTCGTCTCTATTCATTAAATTCATTTGCAACATTATAGGTTTTTTTTAATACATTCGACACTATTCTAAAGCTCAGTTTTCGACACTATTCCTGTTACCCATTTCTCATTATATAAATTTACAAGTACTCATATAAAACGAATTTATATTATTAAAATAAGATAAGATAAATTGCAACAATTAAATAAATAGATAAATTAAGAATTATAACAAGTTTATTTTTTTTTGAACTTAAAAATGCAAAAATATGTTTGTGTCTGTTAATTTCATAATTGTGCTTGTTAATTTAATAATTAATAGTAAATTTTGCTTAGCTATATTTCAAAAAATAATTTTAAACATCCAGAGCGACGAATCTTGCAAATCTTACTAAGATTTTTCTTATCTTACATAAATTAGTAAGAACTTATTAGTATCTTATTAAGATTTGTCAGAAATATTTCTTTGAATAACTTATTAAGATCTAATTAAGATCTTAATAAGTTATTCAAAGAAATATTTCTGACAAATCTATTTTCTATTTCTAAATCTATTTTCTATTTCTAAATCTATTTTATTAATAATTCTGACAAATAAGATCTTAATAAGTTCTTAATAAGAAATAAATGACGGGAAAAATTTATAAATCTAATAAAGATCTCAAAAGATCTTGCTAAGATCTTGCTAAGATCTTAATAAGAAATAAATGCGAGAAAAAAACTACAAATCTTATTAAGATCTTGCTAAGGTCTTATTAAGGTAAACTCAAATTAAATTTTCATATAATCTCTTTCTGTTTATTTTGCGCCAATTTTTCGGAGATGAATTGAGAGAGTGTTTTTTACTTGTGATATTTTTTAGATATTTGCAAAGACAAATATTTTACTATAAACTAATAAACTATGTATCCTAATCAATAATCAATATTTCTATTTTTAAAGTTATAATTAATTTTCTTTTTATTTATTTATATTAATAATATAAAGAAGATCCTAAACAACATCCACATTATTTTAAAATGAAAATTAAATTTATTTGAAATAATATTATTATTTCAATATTATTAATTAACTGTCATCAATTTTAAAGTTAATTTAAAACAATAAATAAAAAAAGTTATAACCCAAAAACATAACACGAAAATTTTAACCCAAAAAAAACTACCCAAGATTTCTTGGGTAGAAATCAAATGTGCACCTATATAATTTCTTGGATTCAGAATCTTTTATTTTCTTTTCTCCAAATTAATCTTAACCCTTTTTCATGATTTTTTACAAAAAAAAATTCTAGAAAAAACTAATCTCGAAAATAAAAAAAATTACTTGATTGGCGATTTTAATTTAGATTGTTTTGATTATTAAGAAAATCGAAATACTAGAAAATTTTACAACAATTTATTTGAAACAGGAACAATACCAATAATAAATCGACCAACAAGAATTACAAATTATTCATCCACTTTAATTGATAATATCTTAACTACTGACTTTTTTAATATATCGCTTAAAAAAGGAATAATTAAAACAGATGTATCTGATCATTTTCCTATATTTTTTTCAGTAAATCTAGACTTTAAAAAAGAAATGCAAAAAAGTGTCACCATAAAAAAGAGGTTGTTCAACATCATTAATTTAAACTCCTTCAAAGAACATTTGTTGCTAATAAATTGGGAACATTTAAACTTTAATAATAATATAAACACAATTTACAACACTTTTTTTAAAACATTTTATAAAGTCTATGATACAAATTTTCCTATATGTGAAACAGTTGTAAAAACAAAAGACATATCATGTCCCTGGATTACAAAAGGTCTTAAAAAATCCTCAAAAATAAAACAAAAGCTATATATTAAATATTTAAAATCAAAATCAGTAAAACATAAAAATAACTCTATCACCTATAAAAACTTATATGAAAAACTTCGCAAAAATGCAAAAAAAAAAAAAAAATACTACTCCTACTTGATCAATAAACATAAAAATAATTCGAAACAAATCTGGAAAATAATGAAAGAAATTACAGGAAAACTTAAAACAAATACAAATTCTCTGCCACATGAAATAAAAATTGACAACAAACTAATTAACGACTCAAACTATATTGCAGCTGAATTTAACAAATTTTTTACAACAATTGAAACTAAACTAGCAAACAGTTTTCCGTATACCGACTATAAATCAGCTGAATTCAAAACATCAACTTCATCAAGTTTTCATTTTACTGAGCTAACTTATGATGAATTTGAAATTGCCTTTAGTTCATTAAAAAGAAATAAAACAACTGGGTATGATAATATTAATGTGAATATTATAATAGACTTTTGTGATGTTATAAAACACATTATTTTTAAAATCTTTAGAGCATCCATCAGTCAAGGAATGTTTCCAGACTGTCTAAAAATAGCTAAAGTATTTCCTGTCTTCAAGACAGGAGATCATACAAACATAAATAATTATCGCCCTATTTCAGTTCTTTCAGTCTTTTCAAAAATACTAGAAAAAATAATGTTCAATCGAATTTACAACCATCTAATTAATAATAAAATCTTATACGAAAACCAATTTGGTTTTAAAAAAAACAATTCAATAGAACACGCTATTCTCCAACTTACGCGCGACATCTCAGAATCTTTTAAAAAATCTCATTTCACATTAGGAGTATTTATTGACTTATCTAAAGCGTTTGATATCGTCAACCATCAAATTCTAATAAAAAAATTATTACCATATGGAATAAAAGATAACACCCTCAATTGGTTAAAAAGCTATCTTACAAATCGTAAGCAATATGTTTATAATAAAGAATCCTCGTCTCAAGTGTTAATGAATATAACGTGTGGTGTTCCACAAGGCTCCATACTTGGACCTCTTCTCTTTATAATATATCTAAATGATCTTCATAAAACTTCAAGTCTAACAAAAATAATCTTTGCAGACGACACAAATTTATTTCTATCTCATGAAAATATTAATATTCTTTTCAATAACATGACAAATGAATTAAAAAAAGTTTCTGATTGGTTCAAAATAAATAGGTTATCTCACAACACAGCTAAAACTAAATGAACACTTTTTTATCCACTCTATAAAAAACATAGAATACCACATTTGTTACCTGAACTATATATTGACAATGTAATGATAAAAAGAGAAAAAGTAACAAAGTTTCTAGGAATCTATATTGATGAAAATTTAACTTGGAAACATCACATTAACATTATCTCTTCTAGAGTTTCCAAATGCATTGGTATTCTTTATAAAGCTAGAAACATGCTAAATAAACGGCAGCTGACTTAATTGTACTGTTCATTTGTTCACTGTCATATAAACTATGCAAATATTATATGGGGAAGCACTCAAAAGACAAAAATTAAAACTCTTTTTAATCATCAGAAACACGCAGCTCGCGCAATTAATTTTAAAAATTGTCTTACTCACTCTGCGCCACTTCTTAAAGATATGAAAGCTTTGAATGTTTATCAACTTAATATTTTTAATATTTTATGCTTTATGTTCAAGTGTAAAGAAAATTTATCTCCACAGGTATTTCAATATCTTTATTCTTTAAAACCGAAAAACAAATATAATTTACGAATTGACAACAATCTTAATGCTCCTTTTTGCAAAACTAAATACGAAGAATTTTGTATGTCCTATCGTGGACCTCTTCTTTGGAACAAAATAGTTTTACCTAATTTTGACTTTTCAATCAAACTAAACTACTCCTCATTCAAAACCAAAATTAAAGAAATTATCTTTTCCATTGAAAACATCTTTATCTATTTTTGAGTTTTTATCAATTTATTGCTGATATATTATACTTTATTGTATTATGTTTTACTATTTACGAATATTTCCATGAGTTCTTTGCAAACTTATGTATTTAATGGTTTGTATTTTATTACTTTTTAATACTGTGTTTTGTTAAACTTCATATTATCTTTGTTATC